GATTCAGCCTGCTGGTGAAACTGACGCTGCTGGTCAGTTTCAGCAAGGGCGCCCCCCCCACGCCTGGGGCAAAGCAGCTGGGGTGCTGCAGGGTTGGTCCCGTAGCGCCACCCCTCGGCACTGCGGGACCAACCCAGCAGCACCCTAGCTGCTCTGTCCCAGGCGTCCCCACGAGCAGCTGGGGGGCTGCCGGGTTGGTCTCGCAGCGCTGAGGGGCGGCGCTAGGGGATCAACCCCACAGCACCCCAGGTGCTCTGCCGCAGGCGTCCCTATTCAGCTGCTGCTGAAACTGACCAGCAGCAGCTGAATCAGGGACGCCTGGGGCAGAGCCGGACTATCTGAAGGGGGGGCTATGAGGGGTCTGGGGTGGTATCCCCCCCCACCCCACCACAGACCGCTCATAGCCCCCCTTCTGATAGTCCAGCAAATCTGATAATCCGGCACCCCCTGGGTTCTAAAGGTGCCGGATTATCGGAAGTTTACTGTATTATAAAATGGGTGTAAAGGTGATAAGGAAGGAGGAAAATCCTGACATTCCTTCAAGTGGACATTTGAAACTTTTTTTTTACTACAGTCTCACTTTTGGATGTAGTTCAAAAAGCTCAGTCTAAAGAGCACAAATTCTAATCACAACTTTTATTGAAAGCATTTTGAAAGTTTACAGTTACTATCTCAAAGAAATTAAATTTTTAGTTAAATGGAGTTTCTTATAAGTCCTACAAATATAGCAGTAAATTATTTTGGCATACAGGGCACTAAACAAATGACACGAGCTGAACCATTGTCCAGCACAAAGTGCAACACAGAATTTATACTCAACATACAGTATGTTATTAGATTTAGAAATGGGGGAGGGAGGATGCCTTTGTTTCATGCACAGCACCAAGCACATCATCAGTAATTAATAAAAGAAACAATGAGATCTACAGTTTTGATAATCTCAGTATTCCCAAAAGATTTCCCTCTTCCAACAACAGAGCTTATAAACAGAAGAAGATAATAGTACAATAAAAATGAACGGATGTGACTATATGAATGGGAGTAATTACAGCCCCAGGCACATAAGCTGTTCCACATGGGCAGGCCCTTATGGCCTCAAGGAGTCTCATTTAAGTCAATGAGATTCCACAAAGACCCAGAAATCTACCTGCACAGCACAGCTTCCAGGATCTGAGCAAAAATATCAACATATTGTTCTACATCACCTAAGACTTCAGAAGCTAATTCAAATCACTTATCTATATAAATGCCAAAAAAGTTACTTTACTTACAGGTTTCAGAGATGTAGCCATGTTAGTCTATTTTAGCAAAAACAACAAGACTAAAGACTAACAATTTTATTAGGGCATAAGCTTTCATGAGTAACAATTAGGGATGCTAAGAGGTGGGTAATTGGCTAATCATAATAAGGGAAGGTGCTCTGTTCTGACTTGCACTGGGTCCAGGAGCTACATTAAAATGCAGAGCTGCAAGGTGGATAGGTCCCAGACCCAGCACAAGCCGGGACTGCGCACGGCATACTCAGTCCCGGCTCATGCCCGGGCCGGGGCCAGGACCTACCCCAGCTGTAGCTTTGTATTTTAAATGTAGTAATATCTGGGCAGCTATTACTATGTTTAAAATGCAGAGCTGCAGCAGTCCCGGACCCGACACAAGCTAGGACTACGGTTGCCAGATGGTTTAACCAAAAATACCGAACACCCGCCCCCCTCTCTCCCCCCCCCAAAAAAAACCACACCAGGGAAAAAATTCTGTTGTGAAAAAAAAAGGGGGGAGACCAAAGTTGAGGGGAAAAAAAAGACCCTAAGACAGGCATGTCCAAAGTCCGGCCCGCGGGCCAATTGCGGCCCGTGTTCCGGTTTAATACGGCCCCACAGGTAATTTGGCAATATCTATCTTTTATGGCCCCCAACGAATCCATATGTATTGAGATGAATACATTGTAAAATCTCAGTTAATGTCAGTTGGTCTAAATCAGTTATAAATATATTTGGACACAACATGTATACTTGGTGTTATGTTCCTGTTCATATTTTTTTAACTTAAAAGTTGACAGACAGCCTTTATTACCAATAATATGTAATGTACTTTACAATGTTCCTGACATATATTTCAGCTTCCTGGATTTTTTTTTTTTCATCTGGCCTTCAGATATGAAAGGCAGAGTGATTTAACACCTGTTTAGATTTGTCATCCATGTGACGAAATGAAAAGTATGCCGTTTGCAATAAACTTTGCATAAAATAGTTAATTTGCATTTAATTTTAATGGTTCAAAGAATGTCAGACAAAATGGTCGGCCCTCACGCATGTTCACTTCATCAAATCCGGCCCTCTTTGAAAAAAGTTTGGACACCCCTGCCCTAAGAGTTATTGAGCAAAAAATAATAATAAAAAAAAATAAAACAAACAGCATGGCCCCTTTAAGAAATGCCTTTGAGGCTTTTTTCCCCATGGCCATCTTGTTTTCTTGGTCAGAGACAGAAGACAGCTCCCCTGCGGAACCAAGTAAGTGGGGAGAGAGAAGGGGGCGGGCTGGGCCCGGTGGCTGAGTGTGTATAGGGTTGCCAGGTGTCCGGTAGTTTCGTCTCCTGGCAAGGGGGGGGGGGACAGAAAATACCGGATATTTTAGGTGTCCAGTACTTTGATTTTTTTTTTTACCGGACAGGAGGCGAAAATACCAGACTGTCCAGGTCAATACCAGACACCTGGCAACCTTAGCTAAGACTGCTCAGTACCGGCTTGTGCTGGATCCAGAACCGTTATTGCTCTGCATTTTAAATATAGTAAGAACTGCCTGGCTATTTCTACATTTAAAATGCAGAGCTGCAGCAAGCATAGCTCCCAGACCTGGCACGAGCAGGGATTAAGCCAAGCATGCTCAGGGGCTGCTGCCCTAAAGCAGCCCTTGTCTGTGGGAGCTGAGGCTGGCTGTGCTGCAGGGAGTCCCCGTTCCCCGCTGGGGCTCACTGCAGACGGGCTGCTCCATGGATGTGGAATAGCCTCTGCTCGCAGCGAGCCTGGGCCCACCAAGGGCAGAGGCTGCTTTTTGGCAGCCTTCTCTATCGGGGAGGGGGCAGAGGGAGCAGCACAGGAGGAGGTGGGTGCAGGCGGC